GAGGACACGAGTGGGGGACCGCCTATTCCATCATCTTGCTGATGTCACTCGCCTGTTAAGTGATATTTAAAAATTTTAGGTAATGTATTTTGTTCTCGTATGGTTAGTCATTTTTGTGTTCAACCTAGGAAGAATTTGTCTATTGCCAGGACATGAAGATGTTACTGTATTTTTTCTAGAACTCTTATGATTTTAACTTTCATATTGATGACTATGATTCAAATCAGATTGAGTTTTTCATATGGGACGAGTCAGTGGTCAGTGGTCACTATTTCCAGACCACAGGCTTGTGATCCATTAAAGAAAAGCCAGTGACTATTTCAACAGAAAAGAATTTGGTAAAATTTCAGAACTTGTTTGTGATTTTGAAACAATCTCTCAGGAAACTGGAATCAAAGGGAAGTCCCATTCCCTGACAGAAGACAGGAAAATAAATAAATCATCAAAAATCATTATTCTAAGTCACTTTATGTTAGAATTTCTCTATTTAAAACAGAGATAAAACAAATGTCACACATCAGAAGAAGCGATCTGTTAGAATTGCTATGAGAGCAGCATCCTTGGTCCTGCAGAGGATGTTCTAGATTATGAGCTGCCCCACACGCAGGGACGTCCTTGTCTGTCACAGTTTTTAAATTAAATGATCATGAGGAATAGTCCTCCAGGCTCTCTAATGGGTCACATTTTTACAGATCGTCATAGTAAAGTTGTTCTGGAATTCAAATGCTATAAAATCTCTTCCTACAACCCTTTATCCTAGATGTCTGACTCAGTCCAAGGATAATACTCCACCAACCAAATTGGAAATATGAAATGTTTAAATAAAAAGTAATAACACAATATACATCCACTTCTTTAGGGAATGTAAACAGGGTAAACTAATCAGAAAAACAAAATGATGATAAGAATCATAACTGCATTCTTTGTTCAGTATTTCTATGCTTAAATTTTATCTAAGAGAATATGCACAATGGGATCAGATGTAAGTGTGGAAATTTCCTAGTAAATTATTATAATAAAAACAGGTATTTGCTCATCTCAGCGTGGTCAGTATCTCCAGCAGGTGATGTGTGAGCCTGGTCCTGATGGAAGGGGACAGCGGTGGGACAGGAGGACCAGAAGTACCAAAAGGAGAAGGTGACACTGGGTTTCAGGGTTAAGCATCCTCTTAGCAAAGGGGCCCTACTTGTGCTTTTGTATAGGCTCCAGGGGAGAGGTGAGCCAAGAGGTCGGAAATAAAGATGGTCACATATACAGAGACTTTGAATGTGACACTCAACAGCTTTACATAATCTTGACAGTGAGAGAAATTGTGTGAAACGTTTAAGCAGGGAGGTGCCTTTATCAGATACATGCGCTTGAAATATCTCTCTAAATACAGAGTAAAGAATGGAATACAGTGGGGCAAACTGTGGGATGAGGCCACACTGAGGGACTCTGCAAGGCTGGGGGAACAGTGCTGGGCTCCT